AGTTTCTGAAAAACTGGTTTTCCAGAAATCCAGGTCTTCAAGAGTCAAGGGCCCGACTCATTTTAGGCTTTTCACTAGCTCACTATCTTCTGTCGATCGATGTATGAACGAATGAAATCGGAAGGTGTCACTTGGATAGGTTCTCTCATAAGCTGAAATGCACCTAAATACAAAACTTTTAGCTTGTGTTTGTGTTCTCAGTCGCGACGCACTGTACAACTAAATTGAACTGAATTATCAACCAACAAAAATCTTTGTGGTTCTTTCAGGTGGTCTTCATATAATTCAACACTCATGTCCCAAAGGTCTGCGTTGGAATACACGAAAAAACCAATGTGATTCACGTATGAACGTCCAGTATAGTTGACATATCGCTATGGAACACGTGCCGGATTTATTTGATGCTATTAAAGTCACGAGTGTAATCGGATAACTGTTTTTCTAATTTTACTGCTTTTGGATAGAGATAACGTTTTTTTGCCAAGTTTGAATAAACCTGATGGTTTCCTTTGCGAAGTTTGCCTTTATAACACAATAACTTGGAAATAACTCTCGCTTTTTCTGTTTTACTGTCCTTACCTATATACGAGTCAATCTCTAGTCATAGTGTATACGGCCTGTTTACAAGATCCACTTTGCTTTTGGCTCTGTAGCTGGGTACTGATTCTGAAAGCGGATGCTTCCGTCTATTTTCACCCGTGTAAATATTGCGATTAACAATTTTGAAGAAAATAGCCTTTTAGCATAGACGCAGTCGATCTGTAGTCTCTAGTCTATATCCTAAAGCGATAGAGAATTGTTCAATGTACAAAATGGTGAAGTAAAATTTGGGGAGTTGGCCGTTTAAGGTACGCAAAAGAACAAAAAACGCAAAAAAAGTGATAACTTCGAAATTAAAAATTGTTAAGAAAAGCACTTTTCTCCCAGCAAAAGAAGAAGGTTGACTAAACATTCTAGCATGGATGTATTGTTCTAACTCTCCTCTTTCAAACAGTACCGGAACCAAAAAATTTGGCTGGATGATTTTTGAGAAATTCGAAAAATACGGAGCAATACTAGAAAGTTGAATTCTTTTTAGAAAGGTTGAGAGTAGCAAAAGTAAATGCCGTACTAACTTTTGATAAAAACGTTTTCAAGAAATCTAAATAAATGGTTAGTCCATTTTGTTAGAGCTTTCAAATAAGATATATAGGAGTTCAATCGGGGAACCATCAGATGCCGGCATAGTGGCGGGAAGGTCGGTTTTCTCATGAGAGCTCTCTTAAGTATGACGTCATTCGGGAGAGGAGGTTTTTTGATCGGATTGGTGATTGCTGTTGTTAAGTCTATTTGTATTGAGGTGTTAGACGACGTTTTTTCGGCGTTGGGACTAATAGTTGATTTTTCAATAACGGACATTTGATAATATGGTATAGGGTTATGTAAATGTGGAACACCGTGTAACCATTCAAATGGAGGATATTCAGATGGATTAATGTAATCGATTTGACAATTTTTCACATTTGCTGAGCCTATATATCCACATCATTTTCTGACGTTAATGGTATTGTTGATGTATTGATAGTTGTGTAAATTGGTTGGTCTTTATTGGAATAGGAATGATCATTCGGCTGTATACATAAGCTATTTGATAATGATAACCGTGTACGGGATGGTAATAATTCGTGATCTGGATCATTTGATGATTTTGTAGGTGTTTCAGATGGACTTTGGTGTTCACAAACTGATGGTATCATTCATATGTTACTGTGAAGCCCAATGAAAGAGTGAATCGTCGTTATTTTAATTTTATTTCGCTTGCTTCTGCATATATATATATACTGTCTGTTTTTTAGTCTCGCTCATACTTGAAGAAGGCTACTAGCCGAAACGCGTCGTATCTTATCTCTTTTTTATTATTTTTCGTATTTTACTTGTTCGTCGTTATTTCTTACTTTTATCATTAATGTACCAATATCTTTAATAAAGCTATCAATTCAGTTCAAATCAAATCAATTCAATTTGTATATGTGTGTGTGCACACGGGCATGATGGTAAGAAATTCCGACAAAACCAGCCCAAAATCTTCATGACAGTACCTGCCGTCAATGCGAATGTAATGCAGTTGTTAAAAAAGGAAGAGAATTTTTGGGAATTCGCTAAAGTCAAAAAACGATTCGCTGAAGAGTACCGCGCCAAATCCACGAGGTAGCGAGCCAGTCGAAGGCCGAGCGAGCGCACGAGAACACTGAGCAACAGGCGTGTTTTTACGATAACACTGAGCAACAGGTGTGTTTTCACGATAACACTTCGTTTTTCACTCTCAAGATAGTTTGAAAAATCTCCCTTTTTGATGAAAGCCTGACCCAGTAGCCTCCAGAATGCACCCACAGAAAACTGTCAAAACACCGTTTAAGTCCACCTGATCTCCCCACAAATCGCAATCATGGTAGCTTCAACTCACCCTCATCAATTCTCATTGAAGCCTGGAATCCTGGTATCCTCGAATCCCGGAATTCTCGAATTCTGGAATGCTGGAATTCAAGGATTTCAGGCTTCCGCCAAATCATTTTGTGTCAGTTCTGCGATCACATTCGGTACGGTAAACTACTGTCCGTAAACAAAACAGTGCACTTGGTCATTTTTGAATAACTTGAATAGACTCTTGAGAAACAGGAAGCTTTCCAAGAACTCCATCTTTGTCTCTGAAAAGCTTCGTTTTTCTCTACATGAACTTTTTTTTTCGTTTTCCAAAAGAACTTCATGTTTGTTCATAGAACGTTTAGTTTTTCTCCACAAGAACTTCATCTTTATTCCTGGAGATATTGTTGTTTCACCAAAAGAACTTCATCGTCATTCATCGAAAGTTTCGTGTTTCTCCCCAAGAACTTCAGTTTGATTCTTGCAAAGCTTCGTCTTTTTCTGGAAGACAGTGATATTGATTTCTGGACATCTCCGCGTTTCTAAATAAGAACTTCATCTCTATTGCCAGAAAAATTCGGGTTTCTGCGCAAGAACTTATTTATTCATCGAAAGTTTCGAGTTTCTCCACGATAACTTCGTTTTTATTCGGGGCGTCTAATCATGGTTAAAACCAAGTAATCGTTTTCGTTCTTGTATAAAAGTCGGTATATTGTGTAATTTTGTTTCAAAAACCAAAAATTGATATGATGATGGCAACTGAAGCTTATCGAACATAAGATTTTATTATAAAGAGTCTATCTAAGTTATTCAAAAATGACCAAGTGCACTGTTTTGTTTACGGACAGTAGTTTACCGTACCGAATGTGATCGCAGAACTGACACAAAATGATTTGGTGCCCAAAAGACGGAATCATCTAAATCTTCTACTTGTAAACTACTGTTGGTCCACGGGATATTGATGGTGTTTGTTAGAGAATTGTACTGTGTCATGCGCGGATAGAACGTTTTATGCATTTAGATAGCTTGTATATCGTTTTCACCATTGAGGAAAGGATATATAACTTTGAGATTGCAGTTCAAAACTGTGGGTAACGAAAAATATCCCATCCTTCAGCCCAGCAATTTTCATTGATCATTTCGTTCCTCAAATAATTCAATAATCATTGATCTTGCTTATCTCTAATCAACCTCCAGTTGAATTCTGCCATATAATATTCGGCATTGACAGCAAGTTCAACGAGACAGCGTACTCGCAGTTCGATGATGAATTCAGCAGGTTTATCTGCTAAATTTAGAAGAGCTATAGCATTGTAAAAGCAATTTCCATTGGCTGGCACGACTACACACAGTAACCCGTGAGGTTCTCTGGCAAACAGCAGAGGGCCAGGTTCATCATCGTTGTCATAACAATTGTTAAGGTATTGTTGTGGATTACTGTCGAGTATGTGCGTTCCTCTGATAAAGTATTGCAGTCCTTGAAAATTGAGATCAAACTTATTGAATGATGCCTGTAATATATGACACATGTTCTTCATCAATGGAAACTGACTTTTAGCTTGTTTGAGTTTACTCAAACAACGTCGAAAATATTGGACACGTTTCAGACCACTGCATGTATTGCAAAGTGGATCAGTATCTGTACATGCATCAGAACAGAGACTATAGACTATAGTCATTCCGAAGTTTGATTCGCAATGATCTCATTTACATTAACACCCAATACATTCTGATCTACAGTTATTTTCTTTTCTTATATTCTTTTTTCTGTCAATGTTATATTTCATAAGCCAGACTATTACGTTTATGTGATTGTTAGTGACCGCTTATACAGTATTGTATAACTGGTCATACAATAGAGAAAAAGCATAACACAGAATGAAGATATGTTTTTCGCTAAAGGTGACTGATTCAGTTGAATGGACATTTGGACAAAACATTTGTTTTACATTGTATTATACAATATATACATTAGTGAAATAATCGTTGCCACACTCGCATAAGATTTGTTTTATTATGAGTCGATCGGTCATATTCACCCTCTTATTAATTGTTTAAATTATTGATGTTGAGCCGAGTATTACCGGTATCAACCACCTAACTACAACAATACCGTTACTAAAGAACAAAGTAATTGATTTATTTGTCGTGCTTTCTATCATCAAATGTGTTTGTTTTCAAATCTCTAAAATGTTTTCGAATGTGAGCAATTTACGGTATCGTAAACTATTGCTCGTAAACAAAACAATGCACTTGGTTATTTTTAAATAACTTTTGATACAAGCAAGCTACGTAGAGATCTGCGGTGTGCAGTTTCCAAAAAACTAGACATCGATCACATATTTCTGCAAGTAAAAGCGAATTTCGAAAAAACTTCTGTAGTGGGTTTTACAGAGGATCTTTGTAAAACCAGGATCACTGTAAACTGACATAGACATAGATGGATTTTTCTTGATACATATATAGTCTGAGGTGTTTTCTACAAAACTCGATCCAAGCGACATCTCGAAAACCCATGGTTCGAGGGTTATGGACATTTTTTCCAAAGCTTTAGGACTCCTTTGCCGTTAAGTTTGGGACTGTCAGAAATGAATATTTACAGAGGTTATCAACTATGCTGAATCTCGTGACAATGTTATTTTTCAGAATAAAATGCAGCAACAGAGCGCGATCTACTTCAGAATGTCAAGATATGTTCTATTTTATCCGCTCTTTCTGACTCTGTACTTAAAATCAATAAAAATATTTGATTAGTTCCGACCGTTTCTGGGAAACCTTCCTACAAGCCCAAAATATTTTCTGACAGATTTTTCAACAATTATTCAGGTCTACAGTATGCTGCGGATAAAATAGATCATATCTTGCCATTCTAAAGTAGGTTGAATGGATTTTGATTGAGTTGTGAATTTTTTAGTTTTTGGTGAAAATAATTTCGTGTTTCTCATTAAGAACTACATCTTTATTCATCAAAAGTTTGTGTTTCCTCACAACAACTTCATCTTCATTCCCCGAGATATTGCAGTTTCCTCATCAGGATTGAAAGCCGTCATCATCTACTTTATTTTAATATTAAAAATTATTTATGTTCTTTTCAAAAAGTTTTGCAGCACACAATTTATTAAAAACGAGTTCCAAAATATCTGAATTTCACTGTAATAAACCCAAACATCTTTTCAAATATTAATAAGGGTTTCCAATCGTACGAAATAAAACTTAGAACGTTTCTCTATCAAACAAAA